CTCCCCTCATCCCTCATCCCGCTCCCCTCATCCCTCATCCCGCTCCCCTCATCCCTCGTCCCGCGCCCCGTTGGCGCCGCCCAGCGGCCGCGCTGTCCGGGGGGCGGTGTCCTCCCCGGCGCGCGGGCGGGGCTGTGAGGCGGTGCCGCCATGTTGGCGGGTCCCGCGTGGTGCTGTTCCCGCACCTCGGTGTGTGGGCTGTGACACGGGCATGGTGCCGTGCCAGGAGCCCGGTGCCGTCCCCAGGTGATAGTGCTGTGCCAAGGAATGGCCTCGGCCCTCCTCAGAGCAGTGTGCTGGGTGCTGGCCAGGTGCCACCGCCCCTGAACGCCGCGCGGCCCTGCGCAGGTCTCTGCCTCAGGTAAAACACACATGAAACGACACCCACGCTCTTCACTGGTGGCCAGGAGTTCTCACAGACCCCCCCCGTACCCTGACATACTCGTATGGATGCTACTGATAGCTCGTTGATGCCAAATTCTCTTGCACAATCCTATTTTATTTACCACCCACTGCGGTTTTTATTTATTTAAATCAAGTGGATGTTGTGCTCAGAACAGTGCTGTTGAAATAAGCAAACGTGGTTGGACTTTGCTGTGTCCCGAGCAGGGCCCTGGTCACAAACTGACGTTCCCAATAATCCTGTGTTTGGTAGGATTAGAAGTCTATACCTCCCTCTTTTCCACCCCTTTGGATTGCTAGTTATAACAACTATTTTGGAAACAGCAATGTTGTGCCCTAATACAGACATTCCTGTTTTCCAAAGTTCAGCATGATATTGGAACTGCACCTGGCTCTGGAAGAAGCCAGGAATATAAGGTCATCCTCAAAGACAACTGGAATTGTTGCAGTTTGTTCTGTTAGTGATTCATTTTGGGTGGCATAGTGGTTGTCGCTTGCTTGGGATATTTTATAGTATTGTAATTATTTATTCAGTGGCACTTAGACCATGTGTGCAATTCATGGAACAATCCACCTCAGCTGTATATGTCAATTGACAATTCCAGCTTTAATTCTTAAACTTTCCTGTAGCTTTCAGAGCTAAATATTTGTGTGGATTATGTAGCTGTGTTTTGGTTTGGTTCATATTCTAACATTCTTGGTAATGAATATATGAAGTGCTTTGTGTCTAAGTGGCATTAGTTAGACAGCTGCGGTTACAAACAGCCCACATAATCATATTAAATCAATATTAAATGCGTGCTACTGAATAGTTGTCTTTGGGATGCTGATGGTCCCAATTTAATTTAAACTCCATCCCACTAGTGCTTCCAAAAAACCTCAGAGGAAAACAAATCAAAAATCAAATCCCCAAATGAGTAAGTCCAAATGGAATAACAGAATCTTCATAATTGGTCCGCAGTGGCTTCATTTAGGTGGATGAACAAGTGTGTGGCAGCAAACAGTCCAAAACCTGTTGACTGTTCCCTGTCACAGAGGGAACTGTGGAGAATTGGATTTGAGATGTTTTTAGTGATAAGAGGGTTTGTTTATTTTCACTAGGAAAATAGAAGAGGCTGGTTGGAGTTATGACATTTGGTATGAGGAAAAGATGTAAATACTAGAAGTTTCTTCAGGAAGCCGGTTTGCCCTTACCCTGATGCAGCTGTGCTGCTGTTGGTTCTGTTTGCAGGATGGCCAAGAGTAGATGGTGTGAGGGCTAAAATGGGGCACCAACGTGGAAACCTAAAACTTTCCTCTGGACGTGCTTGGTATTCAAAATGGAGCCACTTAAATGAGCTGGTCATAACAAGAGCTAAACATTCTCCCTTGAATTTTTTTGGGGCTGGGCTTGTGTTCAAGAGCTTCTGTCTCTGTGCTCAAGGGGAGGATGAAAAAGAAGCAGTGGAACTAAATCTCCTGGTTGGGAAGTTGCATTATTGCTGCAGGGAGTGGTGCATCAAGTGGAAACCAGTTCCAGTGTCCAGTACTCACTGGAGATGTTGCAATGTTGTCTCTGGTTGGTTGTTAGATCTTACCATGTGTTAGAAGATACTGCACAGAGAAGTTGTGTCCTACACGTTATACTGGGGAAGCAGGAAGGGAAGGCACCTGCAGGAGAAGTGAGAATTCTCCCTCTGAGCTGCAAGAACCTTGTCCATATGAAAATATCTCTGTTTTAATAGGTTGAATGTCTGGGGAAGAACTTGGGACATTAATCACTGTGACTTTGATTTGTAGCTTGTTGGGGCTGGCATTGTTTGTGGCCATAGTGTCAGGGCATTGTGGTCCTGCTGAGTTGAAGTTTCCTCGTGCCCTTACACCAAAAACGGGGCTTAAGAGATGTGGGTCACACCAGGCAAATGCAGGTCAGGTCCACCTGGGGCTGGCTGTGTCCTTTCCTTAGTTGTTGTGTCCCTTCCATTTGCTGCCAGGAGGGTTCCAGAGGTTGCCCAGCAATTCTTTTCTGGTTTATGTGAGTTATTAAGGAAGGGGAAGGAGAAAAAGTAAAGGCACCAGTGTAGGTTTGTTGAAATGTAGCATCCAAAGCTACATTTGAACTGGTGGGGTTTGTGTATTTATTTATTATTTATTTATGTGTAAATGTGTAAAAAGTTGTACAACGAAAGAAAGGAAATGGCCAATTTAGCCAACTTTTCCAATATGGAAGGGTTATGGTTCTTGTTCTTCTCTCCTCTCCCTGCTGTATCAAAACCCAGCAGTAATACAACACTGCAGCTTAGTGAGGGCGTTTACTTCTATTTGGGGATTTTGATCCAACATATGAAAAGTGAAAAAAGTATTACCAAAATCAGGAGAGAAAACAAAATACATTAATCTTTCTGTTGTCTTTTGAGACACTGCAAATAGGCATTTTAATTTAGGTGTGTTTGACTTGGCTTTGACAGCGAGAGAAGCTAAAATAGCTTAGCAGCAGCAAGAAGTTTGGAATTATCATCTGTTTTCTGTGCTAACCTGCATTTAGAATTGTTTAAGCTAAGTGCAGAATTATGTTCTGAGTCTTGCCATTCCCAAACAAATCAGATCACTAATATAGTGAAGGATGTGTATGGTGTACAAATACAGCAAATAAGGAATTTGCTATTTTTCAGCCCATGAGAAAGAATGACTGACTGGAAGATTTGCATGCAGACTACACAGATGCTAAGTAGTTTTCCATAAATAAATATAAACAATTTCTTATAATAAATACCTTTATTTCAGCTTTACCAGCAATGACAAGTAATGCAAGTTATTTTTGTTGTTGCCATAAAATCTTTTAATCATTATGACTTACTCTTCAAAGTCAAATCACCATATTATCATCTTCAGTTCAGCTTCCTACAAAAGTGATGATGAATAAATACTTGAGCACACCCCCTTGGGGTCTGTGGTATATTGCAAAGATCCAGGATTTAGCAGATACAGCCAAAAATAGCCCAGGGAAACCTCAAGTCTATCAAGACCCTTAGATTTTAGTGATGCACCCCCCTCCCAAATGCCATGGACTTAAGTTCAGATTCAGATCTGGTCTTATTTTACAACTTCCTCTTATCTTTGTAAGCAGAAGCAAAACCATGGTTTCAAGTCTCTTTTGTCCTGAGAATTAGAATGTGTGAGCTTGAAACTTGAATCCAGATTCAGTGGTTTAGGCTTGTGCTATTTTTTTTTCCCTTTTTTAAATAAAACAAAGTATGAACAACCAGCTCAGCAGCTGGCCAGCAAAGCTGCCATTTCACCGGAGCTAAATTCGGATTCTCTGTTTAAACATCAAATTGATCTTCAGGAAAGGGAAGAACAAAAGGTGCTGCCCTGAGACCGTTGGCAGGTGGCAAATTGGCATCACATTTTCTTCCAGACCTTTGCTGGACCCCTCAATCTTGCCTTGAAACCCAGTCCTGGAATGATGATGTGTTGTTACTCCTGAGCAGAGGGTGCTTCCAGCGTGGAGAGCAGTTGCACACACCCAGAGTGGGTGAAGGAATCAGAGGAGATACACCAGCCATTTTCTGTTATATCAACTGTGTAGACAGGGAATTTGTAATTGCACTTGGTTTTCTGCAGAAATTGTATTCTATTGCATTCTTTTCGTAGCAGCATTAGGGAGCTCTTTCAGTTAGACATCTTTTGAAATTGGTTTAAAAGAAATTGTATTCTTCTTAGCTTGCAAATAGGCACTGGAGCCAGGCTGGTGGTTTTGTTTTGCATGGTTGTGGGGAATTGTTTAATTCTCCTTTCTGAGTCCTCTTTCTCTAGGTCAGCAGCCAGCAGCAAGGAACATCAAGTAAAAATAAAACTCCTATTTTTAGTTCAGCTACATAATGTCCTATTTATAATACTGAAATTTCAGCTACTACCTGGCCCCCTTCAGTTCAATGAACCATCTCTCCTGTGTTAGCCCTCTTTGCTCTTTTTTCACACCTGCCCCATTTGGTTCTTTTGCAGTTATTTTTGTAGGTTTGGGGATGCTTTTCCAGGAGGGCTCTTAATTCTGCCCAGTGCTGACAGCAGGCAGTTCAAGCGATTTGACTGGAAGTGAGGGCGAGTAGCAGCTAACAGGGGATACTCAAAACTTGGCATAATTCATCCTCAAAATTTTAACACCATGGAACTCTGGGGGGGGGGGAAGAAGCTGCAATCAGAATGATATATCAGTTGATCCAGATAAATGTTTGCTTCTGCTTTTAATCCCTCATGACTACTGCAAATAAGACACACTAACTTCATTTTCCTTAGGATGATACATGACAGTAATTTTCTTCCCCCCCCCCCTTTTGTTTTGTATAAATTTTAACACAGGCCGGTGAGGGGGAGACAAAGAAGAGCACAAACACAAACATTTCATGGCTGGCCAATAAACTGCCTGCAGTGTGGAAGTGAAATAGTTAAAAATGTGTTGAAAACCTCAGAGCGGAGCTGCAGTCTGGGGTTTTGGCAAGTAAAAGATGGCCCTCAGCACACAGGACCTTAGGAAAAATGCATTTGTGCAAAGGCAGTTTTTACCCTGCCCACAGTCTTGGAGATAAGGCAGGAACTGGAACAGGAATAGTTCCAAGATACATTTGTCAGAGTGAGAAGGAAATGCTGACGTGCTCCTGGGCCAGGTCCTGCTGCCATCATAGAGGGGCTTCAAAACGGGGATTTCTGCCTGGCTAAGCCAAAACTGATGGAGAAAAATCCCCAGTTAGAAGCAGCTCCTGAAACCACATAGACCCAATTATCCACCAGGGACCAGGCACTGAAAATAACTTTTTGTAAAACATTTTATTTATTTCCTCCATATGATGTATCTCGCTTGAAAGAAATGAAATGACTTGTAAACCTCCTGCTTTTCAACGGGGTTGAGTCATGCTGGAGACTGATGAGGAGCTGGGTGGGGGCGGAGGAGGAGGGAAAGCAATTCTGGTAATATGGAGACCT